TATATATTTTTTTTTTTTTTTTTTTTTTTAACAAGCATGTTTCTGGTCAGTTGGAGCAAATTTTGTGGTTTTGTACATTAAGTTAGTGACATTTTAACTATGTGACAGAAAGAACAGAATAAAATTTAACTAATAAAATCTACCGTATTTTCCGCCGTACAAGTTGCGCCAGTGGATAAGTCACATCGGTCCAAAAATGTTTAATAAAGTGGGAAAAAACATAAATAAGTCGCATCTATCATGCGTCACCACTGACCATCCGCAAACATGGACCGGTGTTGTGCCAAAAATCGATTGGCTGCCTAATGGTGGCTGCGGGAGCGTGCACGGTAGGACTTTAACAAGAATTTAACAAGATTAACACTTAAAAACAATTATTTGTTGGCTCGACATTATAGCAAAGGTGTGTCTCAGTTTAACTTTTCCTTAATAAATGCACTTTAATGGTCAAAACAGCTGCATTTTGCCTAGGTGCTGGTGTTCCACTAAGGTTCTGGCGTCGAGCTCTGGAGCCTTCGTCCACCCACACCTTGCTGCTTCCTGGGGCCATGGAACATGTGCTCTGCTGCCCCCTTCCTCCTGGCTCGGGTGGCGGAGGAAGGCTGTAGAGCTTGCAGCCGGAGCCGCGACGGATGGATGGATGGATGGATGGGTGGTCACTGCTGCAGAGGAAATGCGCCTGGCGGGAGCCAGCCAGACACGGGGGAGGAATGTTCCACGTGAGGGGGGATCCTCTGCCGCCTTGCGGCCGTCCCCTCTGCCTGGTTGAATCCCCTGGGCAGACTGCGCAGACCCGACCTGTTTACAAACTTTCTTTCTGCTGCTCAGTTACTGTTTTGAGCTGCATATTTTTATTGCCTGCAGTTTGTAATCTGCAAAATAGGAGTTTCTGTTTGGGGGCATTTTACTTCTGTTAAGTTTTTCTCAATTGTCTCTGTGAACATTTGTGTGTGTGTGTGTGTGTGTGTGTGTGTGTATGGGGGTGGTGTGTAGTGGGGTAGAGGAACAACATATAAAAGCCTAGAGGGCCCTCTGCAACTGGTAATGTTTACTGGTTCATGTCTATGAATGAACATTTCAAAGTCAAAAATTAGGTTATAAATATGGGACAAAAAAAAAACATATATTAGTTGCTTCGGTGTAGAAGTCGCAGGACTTGCAAATTTATGCAAAAAAGTGTGACTTATACACCAGGAAATACGGTAATTAGTGACGCTCTGGCCACCAGGCGGCGCTGTGCGCTCTTCTTTAAATGCACATAAATAGCATTTACAGCCTGAAGATTTTTCTGACAGTGGCTTTTTAAAATTAATGCAGGTTTTTTTTTTTAGGATTCATACAGAAAATTGATAATAGACCATTTAAAATTTTTATTTAGGTTCCTGCAAAAAAAAAACTTTTGATTTAATTTGCATGTGAAATTTAGATCATCACACCTAATTTAATGTTATCTTTGGGGAAAAAAAAGCAGTTTATAAATTCTAACTTTTGTAATTTATTGCCTTACTTCATTTGATTATATTATCTGTACATTTTAAAATAAAATCGACGCCATTTGTTCAAGTCTAAACAGACATATTTTTTACCTGGAGTGTTTTTGTTGCCCTGTTTACCAACGAGTCCTCGCGCTCGAATAACCTCCACGTCCAAACGCTCCTTCCTGTACACCATCCCGATCTGGATGTCACCTGATCAGCAGAGAGATCAACTCAGTGACGAGAAATCAGACGAGTTTTTAAAGAACGATGCTGTTTTTATTCCTGCACAGCCTCGTCAGCTGAGAGACGTACAAATTTAAAAATGTGTAAATGTACACAAACAGATGTGGTTTCTCTGTATCATCACGACAGTGTGAATTTTATAATTCATGTTTGAATGCATGTAAATAAATTTAAGAATAGATAGAAATCGCATTAATGTCTAAATAAATATGGCAAATAAAATACATTTGATATTAAAAAGTAAATATATAAAACAATAATTGTCAAACAAAAGAGTGAACACACAAACCCTGATGGGTAAAAGCAAACACACTCAAGATGTCATTTATAAATGTAAGCATTTATGTAGAAATCAAAATGCTAAAAGAACAAATAAAGTTAATTAAAAACCATAAGTAAATTATTATTCCTACCCATGGGGGGTGTAGCTAACGTCTGCCGTCCAGCCAGCTGACCAGGGCCTAGTCCCTCCAGGAAACCAGTGAACTGTTTGTCTGACGCCAGTTTGACTCCTGGAAATATGAGACTGACAAGAAAAAAAACGGTTAATAATAATGATTATTTAATTTTACAGCAGTCAAGCTGAAGAAAACCAGAAAAAAACTCCAGCAAACAAGAAGCAGCAACTACAACAGAGATAACGAGAAGAAGAAGAAAAAAAACTGAATAAATAGAGATGTTGAGAAGAAGATTGGAGGAGGGAAAAGAAAGTAAAACGTCAGCAGAAATATAAATGACTCGTACGCTCCGGGTTTGGGATCCTCGGCATCTGGATCTCGGCTCGGTTGACGCGTGAACCGAGATTTAAACTCAACGGCCAAACCAGTTTCTACACTTCTCTGGACAGGAAGTCTGATGGCCTTCTTCTTTTTCTCTTCCTCTGCAAGAGTTGAAAGAACAAAAGACAGAAGAAGACGTGAGAGTGTCTTATTTTAGAGTTGTAACCTGAGACCAGCGCCTATGTGGTACATTTGACTGTTTGACAAATGCTGTAGTGGTTAAATTGGAACTAACCCTCCGGATTGAGCTGGGAGGCACTCTGACTCTTTTTCCCCAGTCCAACCATTCCCATCATTCTTGCGCCAAAGCTCGAGCGTCGCTTCTTGTCGTCATCGTCGTCGTCATTTCTTCCCAACGAGCAGATCTCCCCACCGACACTCGACGACTTGGTGAGAGGAGCGCCGGAGTTTGATGCTGCCCTGGAGGAGGAAAAAAAAAAGCGTACAACAAAATCTGTTAATAAAGCACCTGCCAGTCTGCTGAGAAGGAGGGGCAATTACTGGAGTGGGAGGGGCTTAGAAATATGGGTGGAGCTAGTACAAGAACACAGAAAAGGAAAAAACCTGAGTTCTCTGTCACCTTAGCTGTATAAACACATCACAACTGCACACAGATGAACCCTGTGCTGACCCGGTCCGACTTAGGTCATTCTCTTACTTTGAAGTCTCAGGCTCCTCCTCCTGTCCCTCCTCCACCGATTCGCTCTTCAGAAGCATCGCTTCGCTTGCTGCTGCTCCTACTACTTCCTGTGTCCCCTCTGATCCCGCACCCAAGTCCACTGACTGAACCTCCACAGGTTCCATCTTACTGTCTCAGTCCGTCAGAACACAGGACGGCAGCATGCAGACAGAAACATGCAGAACAGTGATGGTGACAGATGTAAGAAACATGCTAACATCAACTCTGAACACAAAAAGCATGCAGGCTGTAAAACATGAGCAGGTAACACGAGGCACAAACGTACAAGACGGGCTAAAAGCTGTTGGAGCAGTGTCTACTGATGCTCGTAACAATTGTTTTATTTCCACATGAAGCTACATTTAAAAAATAATAATAAAGGTCCAGCGTTCTTCGAAGGATTGCATATCACCACTGTCTTTTACGACATGATGTAATGAAAAGAGTTACAGTAGTCCCTTGTTACTTTGCAGTTCGACTTTGGCAGACTTGCTATATCGTGTTTTGTCAACTCACATTAATATTTTTTTTTATTATACATGACACATGACTGTCAAATTTAATATTACTCATATGATTGGGACAGTACTGGATACTGTACAGTAAAAAGTTAACAAAAAATAAAATACTTCAGACAGGCACTGCCATTTTGTAGTTTTCGCTCAGTAAGCCTATACTGTATTCCCGCTTATAACAACTACATTTCCCAGAAGCAAACAGTGCCCCGCCCGGAAGCCCCGTTTCCTTTTAATGAAAAAAACTAGAGGGAAAGATTTGATCTGTTCGGGAAAAGTTTGGCGCTTATTACAGTGACTTCGGTGCCCAGCTGATGCAGAGAGCCGCACGGAACCCACCGAACTGAACCAGAACCGGACCAGAACCAGTCCTCCAGACACATCGGTGAATCTTGAGAGCTGGTAGCCGGCCCACAAGGACTTCCGAGCGGGACGCGCACCGCTGAAGGTCCTAGGCTCCATATGGAGCTCACCGGGTCTTTTTTCATCTTTTAGATTGCTCAATTGGACCACTTGAAGGTCCCCCACCCCCCCACCCCCCCCGAAAAAAAAAAAAAAAAAGCATTTTGGCTCTCAGGGCTGCACTGAACCGGACCTGAACTGGACCCCCAGACTCAGCAGTGAACCCAATCCTATAGCTGGCCCACGAGGACTTTCAAGCGGGGATGCGCCGCTGTAGTTCTGACGCTCCATCCGGAGCCCACCGGGACTTTTTTCATCTCTCGGGTGAGACCAGAACCGAGAGCTGCTCCTGTTCTGCAGATCTGATGAGTAAAATTTAGTAGCTACACATCCAGTACTGTAAGTTTGTTGTTAATATAATGTAAGTTTAAGAGCTTAGAACATTGCAAGAGTGTGGGAAGGGTTTATAAAGCCTTAAAATACATGTATATATATATATAAATACTAAAATAAATAAAATGTCGCTACTTCGCAGATTTTCACTTATTGCAGGGGGGGTCTGGACCCTAACCCCCGCAATAAACGACTACTGAACAGCTGTTTCAGTCAAACTTTGTAAATGATTGTCAAACATCTGCTGAACTGACTGACACAACCATTTTTGTGTTTTCCAAATTCAGTTTGCTGTTTAGCACTTCACAAAATATTTTACTAACAGACAGTTTTAAGAGAAGAGCTCGCTTAACCAGTTAACTTTCAGAGTACAAGTTGGGCGTGACGCAACTATTTCCACAGCAAAGCTTAAGATCTGTAAAATTGTTGTGGTGGTTATGTTGAATAATCTCAACTAAAAAAAAACTTGAACTAGATGTGCATCCAATGATTGCAGGTACTTTCATTAATTTCCATTCTGTGGCTCATGTAATATTTTGCTAACGCAACAGACAAACGAACACACACACACAGGTAAAAATTTTATCACCCTTTCTGTAAAAATAATAAAAATGTTAGCGTTTATTAACTATATCCATAATGTTATTTGATGAATTACCCTCTACATAACTCATAAAAAGTAACAAAATACTAAAACAAAACACTAAAGTTAAGACATACAGCTCAAATTATGTAAATCTTAAACTAAAGAGTATTTATTTGTATTTGCATCAGACTGGTCTGTGATTGATTTGTCTTTGTGACCGGATCCGTTTCTCACCTCATCCTGCGGACGGATCGTGTTTCAGAGACATTGGACATGGCAGAGACATCGCTGACGTCACTATCTGATGACTTAAAGGACAGGCTGTCCCTCATCTGGAGGACGAGGACAGGTGAACATGTGAGTAGGTGCTTTATAAGACAATTTATGTGGACTTTTCTAGTTTTGTGCTGTTTACCTTTGTGGGGTCCTTCATCACACCTGCAAACAAAGAGGAGCATTAGTTCATTATTACAAACAGGCATATCCTACATTTGGTAACATAGTTTGGGAAATTTCAGTAAATCATTCTCAGGATTGTCTCTATGGACAGTAGTGTCACCATAAAGACATATTTAAATAGAGAAAATGCTCCTGTAAAATGAAGCAACATATTCTATTTCTACCTCAGAGAAACAATCAAAATTAGAATAAACACACCAGAGTGTCATCAAATGATTCAAAAGTAGGAAAATGCGAAATCACTGCAGGGAGCAACACATTTAATTTCAGCTTTTCATCCTTTCAGACCGAGAAAATTTACAGCACCTAAAAGAAACTATGAAACAGAAATAAACAGCGTCTCTACCTTCTCTGCTGGCCGGTAACACATCTCCTTCAGATTAACATCAGCGGATGAAAACGAAAGAAAATCAACAAACTCATCACAAAATGTGTCACAAATGACTAAAATCTCTAACTATAAACAAAACGCTGGATATACCTGTACTCAAAGCTAAAACTATACAAACGGCGTCATGGTGAACCTCAGGGTTCAGTTCTGGGCCCTATTTAGTTATAGTAAATTTACTGTAGTTTATTTTATTTGTTTATTCATTTTTTCTTAAGATTAGTAAACAAATCTGAACTTTGATTAAAAAATAGTATTTTCACCTAAGAACAAAGAACAAATAAAATTGTTATTAACAATTTTTATTTGGCAGTACTAATAACTATGGGACTAGTAAATGATGGACTGAATTATCAATGGATGCTTAGACAGAAGGTTGAAGAACTAATTAAAGCAGTAGGGACTAAAACTAAAATAGTCATTAAAATCTCACAGCAGATTCAAGTAACGAACATGTTTAGGTGACATGATCTAGACACTACGTCTGCACATGGGGGTGGCTAACAGGTGTACCCTACCATTAGGTGTTTTCTTCTGCTGGTCCTCCCATGTGACCTCTGCATCATGCAGACAGAGACACCTGATTGGTGAGTCTACAGTGACACTCAAACTCTCTTTAGGCAATCCTTCTAGTATCAGCCCAGTTATATAAGCAGGACACACACCACTATCTTAACATCATCATCATCAGCACCTAGACTACAACACCTGAGTTTACAGGCTGAGAGACTTGCCTTTTCTGGTGCCTCCAGGTGTCGCTGAGCGTCTCTCTGGATCTGATACATGCAGGTGTAATGAGATGACGTAACAAACGTGAACACATAAATCAATGAATGAATGGTATTAATGGTGAGGGACACACACACACCTAGCTTCACAATAACCAGTTACTGGCTCTAATGGCCTACACTGACTGGACAAACACATCACACCAGTGAAGTGCGTACACACCTGGAGTCTGAGGGGGTGGTGCTGGAGAGGGGGCTGGTGAAGGAGCAGGACTAGGTGTTGGGGCATGTGTTGGAGCAGGTGCTAGGGGTTCAGGAGGTCGTTGTAGTGGAATGACAGGAGGTGGTGGATGAACTGGAGCAGGTGGCGGGGCCTGAGTGGGGGGAGATGTTGGCCCAGAGGGTGGGGCAGGGGCAGGTGTTGGGGTGGCTGCAGGTGCAGGAACAGGTGCTGGGGTGAAAGTGGGTGCAGATGTGGGCCTGGGTGTAGGTCCAGGTGCAGGTGTGGGTCCAGCTGAACTTGTAAGCACGGGTGCAAGTGTGGGTCCAGGTACAGGCACAGGTGCACGTGTAGGTGCAGGTGCATGTGCATGTGCATGTGAGGGTGCAAATGCAGGTCCAGGTCCAGATGCAGGCACATGTGTATGGGTGGTTGCAACAGAGGGTGCAAATATGGGTCCAGGTGCAGGTGAAGGTCCAGGTGCAAGCATAGGTGCAGGTGTAGGTGCAGTTGCAGGTGCAGGTGCAGGAGGTAGATGGGTTAGGGCAGACAGAGGACGAGATCCCTGGATTCGTATAAGAGGAGGTGTTTGATGATTGGCTAGAGTAGGGGTCTGTTTATGGATCGGGAGAGGGACCTCGTGATGTGATGTGGGTGGGGGTAAGGTTGTTGACGGTGCTCCTGTGGTTGGCATGGCCAAAAGTGATGGACAGCAGATGATTTTGGAGAGAAAGGAAATGAAACGATGATCAAAAACATGAATGAAAACAGACAAGGAGAGGATGAATGGCTGCACGACCAGCGTCAGAGACTAATCACGAGGAGACAACACGGACAAAGAGTGGTTCACACAACTCTGAGAAAAACCTTCAGCTTTTAAAAAGGTCTTCTAAACAGTTAAACATAGGTGGTTTGTTGCCAGGTAAAACCTTTTCTCATCTAGATAGAAAGTTTTACAGCATTTTGAAAGAAACGCAGCTCAAGCGTGAAGATCATTCACAACACAACGCACAACCTTAGACTCGTGTTAATCTGTCACATCCAATCAACACTTTCTTTTTTCTTCCACAACTACAACTACAACTTCAACACAGTTCGCTGGTTCTAACTCTAAGCAGGTAATTGATACTCAGGTGATAAAGTCAGTACCTGTCTGTATAGAGTCAGAGGGTTCTCCATCTGCAAGACACGACTCAGTGTTAGGCTGCTGTGACCGCCGTGCTTCCATCGGATGCTCCAACTCAGCAGAGGAGCCACGAAAAGCTCCCATTGAACATGTCAGGTTTATTTTTACATCTATGTGAAGTTTCATTCAAAAGCTGAAGTTATAGATTTAATTAATTGTTTATTAAGTGTGGAATTAATTTTACTTTGTAGTAGATTTGCTTCTCTCTTAGTTTTTTTGATCAGTGAAATTTTTGAACCAACTAATGTTTTCTGTGTTGTTTTTCAATTTTCCCTATTTTTGTATTTTTGATGCATAAACACATAAAACATAATACTTCACAGCTGATTTGGATTATTGTTTGATGAAGCCTGTAATGAGGCTACAACCTCCTCAGAATTAATTTGCACCATTATGGAAATAATAAAAGAATATTAGATATTACCATTCCACACCAAATTTCTTAAAACACAGAAAAAAATGTCAACAATTTGAATTCAAACATAACGTGAAAAATAAGACGCATATTCATTTAAAACTTCATTTTTTTCATTAAGATCTTAAAATTTGTGATGATCATATATTGTCAATAACAACTGAGAAACAAAGTTATATTATTCTTAACCTTATTCTTACATCTTAGCACAAATAATACAACAAAACCCAACAAAGGCTGAAGACTCCACTATAAAAGTCATTACAATACAGATAATCTTCCAGTCAAACTGCTTGTTTGACAATTAGCAAATACCGTATTTTCTGGCATATAAGTTGCAGGACTGGAAATCTATGTAAAAACTACAACTTATACGCCAGAAAATACAGTAATTATAAATTTTAGGCAACATTAGATTTCAGGGTTGTCCAATTTATTACACTTTTTCACATATGGTAGTGTAGTAGATCATTTTAGCTGAAGTTTTATCCATTATTAGGGACAAGTTTGTGAGTTTTATTTTTTGAAAATATCAGTTAACGCTTGTAATTTTAAACAAAAGAGAAACACACCAAAGTCCCCATGGAAGTTTAAGCTTTCCAACATGCGCTTTTAAATCAAATTAATTTTAAAAATCACTTCCATACCACAAGAAAACTGTAGGATGACTCAAAACAAACAAACAAAAATCCAACTTAGTAACTCAAATTTGCAATAAATACTTATTTTATGTACACCGTTTCAATAAGGTGCGTATCTGTAAACTGAAAATGATGTGACTTTAGGTTATGTTTTGTCATTTCTAAAGTACTTTTCATTGCAGCAGAGTTTTCCAACTAATGGGAAAAAGAAGAGCCATCGCCATCAACAAGCAGCTTCAATCCATGTGTAAAAAACAGACCCTGGCTGGTTGACCAGCGCACCATCTGACAGGTACAACATGTCCAGTACTGTATACATACTTCTGTCAAGAACTCCTTTTGGCGGAACAACGGGCAGCTGGCGTCCTCGGCGAGTGCAGACCGCCGTTCCTGTCGGGCTCGTGAGGGAGGAGCCACCTCGAGCATTTGCTCTGTTAAAAAAAAAAACAGTAATAAAAAGTAAAACACAAGGTATGAAACAACCAACTGAAAGGGAAGAAGGTAAGGTGAAAAGTCTTGAGTCAAAATGGTCTCAGTCCCTAAGAATGGAAGTCTTTTTAGGTGATTTAGATTAGCACAGATTATCTAATCTGGCACAGATCTCCTAGTATCTGATGAGGGACTGTGTCTTTGGGTAAAGTAACGTTTTGCTCCAGTTGTCACATCAAACATGTCTGGTAGAACTTGCACGTTTTAAACTGGTTTACTAAAAGAACAGACGAACCAACGTGAGGTTCTGGACGGTCAACATAAACAGCAGCCATGACACGAGACCCTGAAAACACCTGCAGGCAGGTGAGAACTCAAACCACCAGAGGTCAACATCAACAATATTTGAAATATTTAAAACTGCGCATTGTCACTGAATGTTAGCAATGGTATCAATGCTATGCTAACTTAGCAAAGGTTTAAGACGTTTTTCATTGACTGAAACTGAATGTAGGTTGTAGATAAGCTGGACGAAGCCTCCATTCCTGCTGTGTGAAAGCAATATGTAAAGTTTACATGAATTTCTTTGTTTTTATTGAGTATTAAGTCAGGTGAGTTACCTGTTAGGCAATAATAATAATCGTCTTCAGTTCAGCAAAGAAACAAAGCTTTGGATTTTAGGACAGCTTTTTGTCCTTTTTAGACATCAAAGTTTGCTGATTTTGTCCAAGTCAAGTCTTTAGTCTGGGGGAAGCTGAGTTAAGTTCAGAAAGTCCAAAAATAAAACATTTATTTTTTTCAAATGAGCTCATGCAACAAAACCAAAGATGCAAAACACGGATATGAAACGTGCAAGAAAAAACAAAACATGCATCTAACAAAATAAATCTTCAAAATAACAAACGGGTGGCGTGTCGGCACTTTCAGACAAAGAAAGGAGTTAAAAGTGATTAGTCCGGCTTCATGCTTTGTTTTAAGGATCAAAAACAACAATTAGCAAATGCTAAAGATGGAGCTGCTGTCTGATTGGTCGGCAGCAGGTCACCTGATCAGGGCAGGTGAGGGAGGGGCGGAGCGACCAGACCTCAGGTAAGGGGAGTCAGCGCGGTCAGTCGAGTGTGACCGCGTGTAGATGGGTCGGTCCGCCATTGCGCGATGGTCCGCGGAACGGGAGCGACTGTAGTAATCCCTCCGGTCCATCCCACGACTGTACCTGTGTGTTACCATGACAACTGTGACCATCGCATCCGCTACACCTGGGAAATGGGTTAGCTAGTGACATTATCCTGTCGTCACCTGTGGACTCTGTGAATTAGGAGTATAAGGCACTGCAAGAGGAAGTTTAAACACCAACATTTAATTTGGCACATTTTCCAGAAGGAGGAAACCCCAGCAAAGGATGTGGAAGAGGAAAAAAACGAGTTTTGTGATCTCAGTTTCAAAGACAAATCGAAACAGTCAAAAGATAATTGAGACCCTCAATATGGACACACACACACGCACACATATAAAAAAAACACAAAACAGGACTAACATCTGTCATCTACAGCTGTCTGTCTAAAAGTCAGTCTGTTTGTTTACCTCAACATTTCCTCATCGTAAGCCTCGGGCTCATACGGAAAGTCAGGGATGAAGTCCTCGCTGGAGAACAGACAAACGTAAGAACTCTAAAACCAAAACAAATCTATGCCTTTCAGTGTCTACGGTACATTATCGACAACAACCAGGCCTCACCTGTAGTCCTCACAATTCCCATTCATTGTATGGTTTGTCCAGGTGAGGTGTGGGCCATTAAAAGATCTTATGTACAGGAAAACATATTAATGGATAGATGTTTACACATTAGTTTCTGTTACTGTCACTGTTGGTACTTCAACTACGAGTTAACAGGAGTTTCAGGCTACAGTAGCTGTACCTGTCATAAGAATCAAGAGAGTTGCCTACAGACATTCTCCTCAGTTGTTGCCTAAATACAAGAAAAGAGAGGAGGTGAGATCAGGAGCACAGCCAGTAAAACTACACCACTACAAACTGGACTACAAGCTGTACAGAATCCAGTCAGTCAGGCCTAAAACCAGGTCTTCCTACAGGGGTCAAGCCACAACATCTAACCAGTCAAACATCCACAACCTGCTCCAACAACGATACGAAGAAATCTACAACTAAAGCCGGGGCCAAGCTCAGTAGTTTTTATAGTTCCAAACTACCTATGTTCAAATCAGACCATAGACATACAGTATAACATGATACTAGACCTACACAGGATCCTGGATGTTGAAGCCAGTCAGGCAGCAGCATACCCTTAGGCTGGTCCCAGTAAAAGTTTCTTAGTGAATTTTTGGTCAAAGTTTATGGATGTTTTTAACTACTATGGCTGAGAACGTTAACTCTGCCCATGAACCATATGTTTGGGTTATCAGAGAGCGCTGGATGAGGCTGCAGGCGTGCAGCTGTTTAAACAGCTTTTCTTATTCTGGTTGTGTGTGGTGGTGTGGAGTAAGCCCAACTTAAAGTGCCACATCACTGGTCTCCACACTCTGATCCCAAAAATACAACATGGCCGTTCCCGTAAAACACATCCTTCTTGGCTTCAGTTCCCAACAACAAGAGGAGGCGAGGACATTCGGTCTAGGATTATGATATATCGTATGTCGATGGTTCAGACCTGGGTCCTGGTTCAGCCCTGTTTGTCCTGTATGCTAAAATTTTGATCCGGCAGAAGTAGGTAGACTTAATCTGATGGGAAGTTTCTCTATTGATTTAGTGACTGAAGTAATCCCTTCCCAGGTATGTTGCGAGAAAAAAACCTTTGCTTTGATTGGCTGCTGCCCAGGAGACCCAAGTCAGGTGTGTTGCCATGCGTCGCCATGGTTACCTGTCCAGGCTGCTGTACTGAGCGGCATCAGAGTACGCTCGGCTCAATTTGGAGCCTCGTAGGAGCCGCACGGCATCCTCCCGGTACAACGGATACAAAGGGTTACCGCTAGCAACCAGAGGTCAAAGGTCACGCACATGAAGGGTCAAAGAAGAAGACAAACGGAGAGTGTTTTTTGGTAAAATAAATAAATGATTTGGTTGTTCAGGAAAATTATTGGATTTTTGTGCCCCAAGAAGATAAAAATCTGCTGGGATGTTAACTGAATCTCATTTTCCTCATGAAAACACGTCTCACCTGTTCTCATCTCACTTTGTATAATTTCTCAAATAATCATTTTATGCTCCTCTTTTTTCCCTTTAACAGCATTGTGTCAACAATTTTAAATCTTGATGGAAAACTCACCTTTTTTCACACTGGCTTTTACCTCAAGTTCAGTTTGAGTTCCATCAGAAGTTTCTAGATGTGATATTTTCTTGTTTTAATTAGTTTTTAGCCTAGCTTTTATTATATTTGTGATATTTTGGTCAACGTTATTGTTTTTAAATGTGCTAATAAATAAAATTGACATTGACAACAGTTGCATCACTTGATTTTTTTATGTTATAAACATATTTCACATCACTTCATTCCACCATCACCATTGGTATATGTACCTTCCAATCAAATCTCCCATCGTCTTATATCACTAGATCTTTGAACATCATATAAAAAATACTTAGTTTATCTATTTTTTATTACTGTATTAACATAAACTGATTACAGTGAACCTCATTTAGTTTGTCTTCATCTAAAGTTGTCATTTTATGTCAGTTGGTTAAATCACATCCACAGTTGTCCAATTAGATTTAATCTTATCTTGTTTTAAATGGTGGTTTAATCTAATTCTATATCATTTAAAAATATCCCAGTTAATCAGATTTCGTCCTTTAATACATTCCTTTTGCTCTAATCTTGTTTATTATAATAAGATCTGAATCAATATGGCTGCTAACCTTTGAGGAGGAGGTTGGCTTGGCGATCGTGACCTCCTGACCATCTCAGATCGAGAGCAGTGATTGGATGACATCACCTGTTCTGGTACTGAGAGGGTGGAGCTGTGGAAGTCCCGCCCATTTTGCCTGTAATCTGCACAAAGGAAAAAACAAGTTTAGCTACGTATTACTGAAAGGAAGCGGTCAGACCTCCATTTCATTCCATGCTCAGAGTGAAGTCAGCCATTAGTGAATTTATCGTAACTCAGCTGAAACGTTTTCAAAGAACACAGAGATCTATTTTGGTTCGTGTAAGGGATTTAGTGACATCTAGTGGTGAAACTGCAAAATGCATTCAACTGAATGCTGTTAGCATAAAAAGTAGTAATTTCCCTCATGAGCAGTAAGACATTGTGTATCATTAATTTAAAATGATAGAAAAGTAGCTCAAGAGAAAACAGATCTCGTTCAACTCAGGTGTTTCATGTAATAATGTGATAAAAAATAATAAGGTCATCAAATACTGAACATAAACAAATATAAACTCAAGTGTAAAAAATCGCAGCAGGTTGTCATGTAATTATTATTTTAAAAAGTTACAATACTGTACATTAGTTTTAAATAATTTTACTTGTAACTATTTTAATAATTAATTTACATTTAAAATAATTTTACTTTAAAATTTTAATTTTACACAAAACTCCAAAAAAATTGGATTTTTACATTATTTTTTCCTGTTACTGTAATATGCATGTACTTGCATTACTGACATTAATTTCATTTATATATTTTTAAATATTCCATATGGCATCAAATTTAACAACAATTTCTGAACTAAAAGTCGTTTTATGATAAGCTTGTTCATAATAAACAAACAAGTAAATAAATTAATGAATGAATGAATTCCTGTCTGCCTGAGAACCGGTAACAATAAAGATTGTGTGTGTATTTTGTTAATTTTTTGAACTGCAACAAACTGATTATTTTGATGCCAATTATGTACCCATATTTTTATTTTATTTTATTAATTTGAACTGTTTTATACAAGGTGAAGTAAGTCAATACCACTTTACAATTAGTGAAACTACAAATGACTAATAAATAGTAATAATGCAGTAATTATTTAAGCTTTAACCATTTAGTAAACCTTTAATAAGCCAATTATAAGCATTTACAATGCTTCAGATAAAAAAGTAATATATCTGTACATTACATTCTCACTGGTTACCTTTATTTCTCACTGTTAACTTAAAATTTAAATATTAAACATTTGTCATTAAGTAACCTGCATGTAAGCACTATGACCTTAGATATAAAAATTGTTTTGACATACAGTTATTAATTTTTAAAAAGCTAAGCAACTATCAGAATTTACATTTACGTGAATAAATACAGCACCTAAATCTGCCAATTAGTGAGTCTGCCTGAGTGTTATAACTGTTTTATAAGTACAAACTCATAAATTACTTATTTAAAAAGCATTATGGGATTTACCTGTCTAAATAAAGGTTGAATGAATTATTAAATGGTTAAATGGTTAAAAAAAAATTAATGGTATCAAAATGTCAATGATCAGTTTTTAATTTGGAGCTATATAAATAAAGTGAACTGAATGGAATAGATGTTGTTTATATTCTATAATCTATCAAATATACAGTTAAAAGATTTGCTAGTCGTTGCATTTTTCCATTTATTGTTTCCCACAAATGATTTTGTTTTTTTGATGTTTCTACCAGAACGTTCTTTTGTTCTGACCATCATGGTGCACAGTGTGAAGGTGGGTTCACCTGAGACCACCCCGATGCCGTCTTCACAGTCATAATCTGAAAACTCGCTGTCGCTGATCCTCTGGGATCCTGCACAGAGACGGACACAAACTCAGGATGACTTTAAACCTGACAGCAGACCATCTCTGGTGTCTTCTCGTAATGACACCGGTGTTATTACCTGAGTTACAATAAGGACCTTTGTCTGTCAAACCATTATGTGACGTGAAACAAAGTGAACAAAACAAAGGAGAAAACATTAAAAGACAACAAAATGAACAGAAGACAAAAACTTACAATAACTTTCAGAAACTGAAAATAAATGAATGCAACATAAAATCATAAAATAAATGATTAAGCGAGACTCGAGGTGTGCTGTTAGAGTGTTTAGAGAGTTTTAGTGTGAATCGGTGCGTGTCTCACTCTGAAGCCTCCTCTGGGAGGGGTCAGCCTGCAGCCCCCTCCTCTGCAGGTACGGGGAGGCGTTTGGCAGCGGCAGCGAGGAAACGTCATGAAGCTGCAGTTTGTACCAGTGAGGCTGGTCATCCAGCAGCGCTGACTCCAGCTCGATCAGGACCTGAGCAGGTGCAGAACATGGGCACGCTGACCGACTTCAGGAAGTTACTCTTAGAAAATGTTCTCGGCGTGTTCTCACCTCTCCTAAAAACTGGCTCTCCTCCTCCCGGACCCTGGCCTGGTCCCACACCGTTAGCTCCAACATCCGTTCTCTGAACTCACGCCGGTGCACCGGGGAATACATGAAGGTCTGATTCCAACGAGGTTCCAGCGACTTCTTCACCGTCTTTGTCCGACGCTTACTTTTATCACTGCAATAAAAAATAAATGAAAGCAACATGCATTCTGTCGAGATGCTAGGTCTGTAATTATTCTATTTTTACCTTCTGTCTGGCAGGAAGTAGATCTTGACGTAGGGGTTTCGAGGTCGGCCATCATCCCGAACAGTAAGTTCTTTGGCGCCAAGGACAGTGACGATCAGCTGATGACCAACTTTATCATACCACAGCTTTATCTACATAAAAACAGCATAATTGGAGCTATTAGAGCTTATGATACTGAAAACCTGAACACAAATAAGAACCACTGAAACCGTTTCCACGTTCTTGGGGTAGAAAATGCGCAAAACCAAGGGTGGAGGACACAAATAAAAAAAAATAAAATATAAATTAATAGAACAAACATAAAAGGAGACAGCAGACAAATATCAAGGGGAAAAGTTGAAAATAAATGAAACAAATGACCGAATGACACCAGAACCAAACCAGACATGAACTTCATCATCTTGAACAGTTGAAGAATTCATACAACTGAAAAAATGTTTAAAACTGAAGATTAAAAATGAGGATTTTACAAAACCCTACAGGACAGAAAAAAAATCAAGGAATCTGACATAAATCTACAAGAAAGGGGGAAATAAATCAATGCTTTTAAACGTCAAGCAAACCATTAAACTGATGCAGAACGAATCAGAAGACTAACTGAACTGAAGCAGGAGAGTACAAAAACAATGGGAATACTAATGAGTAAAACTAGAAAGGTCCTAGAGAAACTTTCACAGGGACTGCCACGTTGGGTCATTTTAAATTTTGGATTTGACAGTACTCAGTGTTGGGGTTCTCTCCCAGCTACACCAAATTTCAGTTCAGTATGGCAAAAAAAAAAAAAAAAAAATAATTCAATGAGTTATCGTCATTTTTGAATGTCTGAGTAATAATCAATTTTGAGTTTTCTGAGGTAGCTGTGGCAGCCATCTTGATCCAAAATGGCTCCTAAAGTTAATCAGTATTTTGTTCAGGGACCTCTCCACTCCGGGTCATGTGACCTCACTGTGTCAATTAGAAGCTGTTAAGAGTTCTTTCTGTGTTTTTCAGTGAGAAAAATGGCACCTTTGTTTGCAAATTACGTCGCCATGGTAACTCGAAATGCCAACAAAAGTAAAAGCACACGTGAGGTGTTGAGGCGGTCATTTTGATACATTTGTTGGGGTACACATTGCTGTTCGGGCTGCATTAAAATTTATGGAAGAAAAAGATAAAGTTAAGAAACCCTTGTCAGGTGGATAATAAGAGGTGGCTGCCTTACGAGGCAGTCCCCAACAACTCAGTGAACAGAAGAAGAACCTTCATTAACAAGGTTAAACGAAATGGAGAAGAATAAATAACTGAAAAAATTAATTAAAGGCTTATCTTAGAAAGAATATATAAATCTAAAGACAGAGCATCTTTAAACTGGTGGATTTTAATAAGTTGCATCAGAAGAAACAATTACTCTAAAAATCCCATCAAACACAGAACTATACGAGCAAAACAGAAACACTAAAAACCAGAGGAGACTGTGGCAGAACAGAAGAACCATAACAGAACAGAGGAACTATTAGGAGCAGACCTGGAAACAGCAAATAATTTTTTATATATAAACTAAACCAACAACTATTCTACATTTATCTGAAACTACAGAACAAAGATGGAACACCGATCTCTTAACTTCCACCTGTTCTACTGTTTACCTGGATTCTGGGAACCACAGGGTGTCTGTTTGTCTGAAAACACACGCGTGGAAACCTCTGTTATGTGACAGCTTACAGACTGAGAGACGTGAGATGATCAGTGAACTTACAGAGACCTGTCCAGATAAAACGCTGGGGCTCAACGGAGAAGTGACAGAGATGGCCGGACCCACTTTCTGAGAGTCGAAGGAACTGGAACCTGAACGCAGAACATAGAAACGTGGAAGAAACTTGGTTTACATTCTGTTCAGCATTTTAGGCCACACAATTTATTTATTTATTTAAATCAACACTTTCACCGCTCCTTGTGGTGGTGGACTCACTGGAATCCAGGTGAACACTGGAACCATCAGCTGCTCTCGAAACGTCTCTGCAGAACACAGACCGACAGATGTCACTCTAACGAACAAGGAGCTTTGGTTGAAATTATAAATAATTAAAGACGCGTCTACCAATAAAACACTGTTTACTGGGACTCACCTAATTGGTCTGCAGACCACCAGCTCCACCTGTGGCTCTGGTTTAGATTCCATGATGATGTTGTAGACCTCGTTGAATGTGGCACCCTGCAGAACCCGACCATTCCACTCAAGAACCTGATCCCCTGAAGAAGAAAAATAAATCTAATTGTCCCATCAGTGTTAGCAAAACATAACTGTCCATCTGTTCATCTGTCCATCCTTTCATCTGTCCATCCGTCCATCCATCCATCTGTCCATCCTTTCATCTGTCCATCCGTCCATCTGTCCATTCATCTGTCCATCCTTTCATCTGTCCATCCATCTGTCCAATCATCTGTCCATCCATTCATCTGTCCATCCATCTGTCCAATCATCTGTCCATCCATTAATCTGTCCATCCGTCCGTCCATCCATCTGTCCAATCATCTGTCCATCCATTCATCTGCCCATCCATCTGTCATCCATCCATTCATCCATCCATCCATTAGTTCATTGATTCATCCATCCATCCATCCATCCATCCATTCATCCATCTATCCATCCATCCGTCCATCCATTCATTTATCCATCCATCCATCCATCCACCCATCATCCATCCATCCATCCATCCATCCATCCATCCATCCATCCAT